AGAGATACACAGCCAGCATCGCTAAACCCTAAACCCTAAACCCTAAACCATAAACCCTAAACCCTAAACCCTAAACACATATGCGTACTTCCTGCATGCAAGCCGAGCTGGAGCTTCCACAGCAGAAGATGAAATCAAAGACAAAAACAGCAAAACAAAAAAACACAGATAAACAAAACAAATATACATATATATGTATGTATATATATATATATATATATATATATATATATATATATATATATGGGGGTCTATTAGGCAAACATCTGCACTCCTCCTGCTTCCTTCTATCTCCCCAGGAGCACTGAGCTTGCTCCCTGCATGCATGCATGCATGCATGCATGCATGCATGCATGCAGCACATCAAAGCCCCAAAATTCAAAACGCATGCAGAGACGCATGCATAAAGAAGTTTATATAAACCCACCAGCTGTTTGTTTGTTTGTGTATGTCGTCGAGTTTATCTTCTTTGTCTTAACCATTTCCAATAAAATATTTTTGTATTAGTTTGTTTATATAAAAAACACAAACAACTGCATGCATGCATGCATGCATGCATGCATGCATTGATGAGAAACCAGAAACACACGTCAATAGCCTCGTCTAGAGAGAAGCTGAAAGGAAGTGAGCACAAACAAAGGGAATCTAGGGTTTAGAGTCTAGGGTTTAGGGTTTAGGGTTTAGGGTTTAGGGTTTGAGTTGAACATACCTTCTGTAGGCCGCATCCTCCATCCTTTGCGTTTTTTATTAATTACATAAATTTTATTTATTTTTTTTTTATTTTTAATTTACACATTAAGATGAAGAATAAGGAGGAAAACATTAAACCCTAAACCCCAAACCCTAAACCCTAAACCCTAAACCCTTTATCTGCAGTTCTAAATGCAGCAGCTGTATAAACAGATGATAAACAAAGAGAGAAAGAGAGATATAGGGTTAAGGGTCTTTGATTCATTGTCTATGGTTTTGGGTTGAGAATATCGAAGCGAGAAATTAGGGTTTAGGGTTTAGGGTTTAGGACCTCATGCTTCTTCGTGAGCTTTTTATAGCTTTCCTGTTTATGTTGGGGGCTTAAAATGCAAGTGGTATTCTGCTGATAGGGATAAATAACAGTTGCAGCGCGAAAGCAAGGGTTTAGGGTTTAGGGTTTAGGGTTTAGGGTTTGTGTGCCTACGTTTCTTTTTTGTAAGACGTTGTAAAAAAGTTTAATTAAAACGGCGGAGGCAGTGAGAGCACAAGCAGCGAGAAGAAACCTTTTATTTCTTCTGAGGGGTTTCAGTGTGTTCGGTGGTAGATGTAGTTCAGACTCTACGGCGGGAATCTCAACAAGAGGAGCAGAAGGGGCTGTAAATACATTTCCAGTTGACATAGCATTGATTTCTTTTGATAAAAATAAACAAAAAATGCAAAAAAACGAAAAAATAAACACAAAAATACGCCGCGAAACGCTCCCGCCACGCAAACGCCCAGCTTCATATATGGTCTTCATTTTCTCAAACATTTCAACTTAATCTCTGCAAAAGTTCTTTTCTTCTAATTATATTTCAAATAAATTCAATTAATATTTTATTATTTCAACAGATATTTCCGTCAATACAGCTGAAGGGGGCCCCTGCAGCGGGCGGGGCCCCTAGCGACCCGCTATGGTATGGTATGTTAAGGCGTGGCTGGGTGTGTATACTGAAATAATTTTGCGTTGAAAAAATAAATAATTACTTTTTAAAATCATAAAATAATTTATTTTATTTTTTAAATATTCAAAATTTATTTCAAAATGTCTTTTTATTTCCCCCAGGTAAACGGAAACACCGCCGCGGATGAAACCCGATTCAACTTTTTCAGTTCAGATTTCGATCTTCTTTATAAATTATATTTTTTATGAATTATTTTATTTATTTTTGTTTTTTCAAACATATTACTGCTACAACGGTTTTATTTTTATCCTTTTTAGGCTTTGTTTCTTCTTTTTTCCTTCTCCTGCATCTATCTGCTTTCTTCTTTCACAGCATAATTCAAATACTGCAAACTTGAAACTCTAACACCAAACAAAAAACAGAAAAAGTATAATTACGCACACACACACACACACACATATATATATATATATATACATATATATATATATATATATGTATATATATATATATATATATATATAT